TATTTTTTGAGTAAGTCATCATAAGACAAAAATTAAGGAATAGTCTTCTTTACTGAATTTCAGAAGGCAGAAACACTAGCTTCCCTACTGTCTTACATGCAAGATACTACTGTACACCATTTTTTATATTTATTAGTACAGTATACTATACGGTATAAGCTTCCCCCTTCTTTAAACTAGCTCAGGTGGACCCGAGTTCTAACCACTGAAAATCCTGGGAAAGTTAATTAGGACTTCTTACAATGTAGCTATAAGGGAAAACTGTTCTTTCTTAATACCATCAAGCTAACTTCCCTCGTTCATTTTACAAGTTTACCAGGTATCTTCACATTACCCGTTGAATATACGTTATTCTAAAATTTATATCTGGAATCTATAGTATTTGCTTAGCCACTTCATGTACAGAATAAGTCTTCATCCCCTAAACTCTTGAGATCGGTAAATTTTTTGAAACAAAATGCCTTGGCCAATCCTCTGAATTGTTTGACTGGGATGAAATACTGTGGAAATCATTACGAGTTACAATTCAGATGACTGCAATGAATTGGAGAGTGTGAAAACAATCTTGAAGTTCTGAGTGACATACACTACCAACTAGAGTTGCACTAAGAAAAACAAAGTAAATAAAAAATAAAATAAAAATGGCCACACAGGCATTCACCCGACAATCTCCATGATAATTTTAAGCTTCTAGTATTATCCTGAGGTACTGGAATCAATTCCTCATACTCAGGAAGATGCCTCATAAGTAGGGACCAAAGAACATCCCCAGTAAATTAACCTTGCAAAACGGGTCTCAGAAAGGTCAAACAAAATACCAGTAGATGCAGTCCTTATCAACTATGAAACTAGGGTATTCCACATTCATACTCACCATCAGTAACAAACCCTTCAAAACTAGGTGGCCAGCATGTCTAGAATATCCACAATTGTATAGTAACTTGTAAAATTGAGAACAGCTACACGAGACCATGTTACCAACCACTCTTTGACTAAAAATTGTAGAGGGAAGTTGAACAGGATTCACACAAATTTCAGGAAAGGAAATCACAACCTATCAAAGTACTAGGGCAAAAGAGAGCCACTAATACAGATATCTCAGAACCACTTCAGCTTTAAAGTCACTTGCAGCAAAAGAGGAACAAGATCAACCTGTTCCCAGTTCTTCCAATCTAAAATACATCCACTCCTGCAAAAATTGGCACACAATGATTGGAGGTCAACACTTCTCTAACACAGCAAAAGTGCTCATCAAGGAAAAAATCTCATTTTACATCTATTTGGATGATGTCATGACTATTCAAACATGAGTCTTCAGACCTTGAGAGTACCAGCAATATTTTACCATGTCCCTTGAATCAACCTTCTTTTTGCTACATCCAAAGGAAGAATGTTGAAAACTTTAACCCACAGAACACTATTTGCTTAAACTATCCAGATATCCCAAGTCATCAATTGCCATCACTAAAAACTTTGTGACACAAATTGACTGGAACCAAGTGTCAAGTCTAAACCATAACCCTATACAATGTCAGGGTCAGTACCAAGGAACAGAAGGACTGAAGCACAAGCTCTAGCTCTGTGATTCTATAAAGTGGTTAGCTACAACACTAGCCAAATCCTCGGCCTCCAGATTGGGAAGCTAACCATTTCTCTGGAAACAGAAAGATCTAATACAAAAGTCAAGAGAACTCTGCCCCATACCTTAAAATACTGTAGCTAATGTAAAACATTCGACTACACGCTTTATATTCCTACAAACCCAAACAGTCCATTGCATAACAAACCTTGCAAAATGGGACAGAACCTGTGTAATGCTTAACAAAAGCCTTAAGTCCAATGTAACCACCATTATCCACTATCATGTACTGTACTGATTAAATATTCTTAAAAAAAAAAAAAAAAAATACAGGTTGACAACCCTTTATCCGAAATTCCGAAAACCGAAAAGCTCTAAAAACCGAAAGTTTTTTGTGGGGCTTTTTTTTTTTTAACAGGGATTATTAGCCCACCCGGGCACAGATCAGTGACCCACATCGGGGCCTGGGGGGCGAAAATGTAATAATAATTATTCATAGTAAATAAATTTTTTAATAAAAATACACCAAAATAAAATAATAATGATAACAATAATAATAATAATAACAAAAAAATATAATAATAAAATTAATAATAATAATAATAATAACAATAATACTGTAATAATAAAATAATAATACATTAAAGAAATACAAGAATGAAAAAAAGATCAAAAGTGAGAAACACGACCTAGACCTATGAATTATTATTATTATTATAATTTTTATTATATTTTAGACTTCCAGGCCCCAATGTGGGTCAGTGATCTATGCCCGGGTGGGCTAATACACATAAAAAAAAACCGTAACCATTCTGAAAACCGAAAAATTCCGAAAACCGAAATGCCTCTGACCCCAAGGATTTCGGATAAAGGATTGTCAACCTGCACTGAAGTGCACATTGCAAGAGTAACAAGCAAACAACTTACTATGACTCAATGAAAGGAATTTCAAGTATATTGGAAATAATCCAGACTTTTCCCTTCTGGGTTGCTATCCTGCAGTAACCCTGAAACAACGGTGATTGTAAATAAACGAGAAACGCCAATTTTTCTTGTAAAGACAATGATCATCTATATAATCCGGATGTTTCCACATCTAAACTTTTAGTGTGGCACCTAATTTCTGCTTGAGTGAATTATTGTGACTTGTGGCAACTTTTCCTTCCCCATATTGGTCCTTCCCTGCACCAATAGTGTTGTTTGTCATCACGGAGGAAGTACCTGGTATTTCCAGATACGCATCATGTGGAGACCCCTGCCGCAGTAGTGTTGCCTTTACACCCTGATAAATAAGTAAAATATGTGTGATGCACATGTGCCAGGTAGGAGAGCATCACTAACACGTGCACAAGGTGTAGGAGAATGAATTAATGCCGATGATTTGGACCGCAAAATCATCATGGAAAAGCAATAGTACAACAGCACTGCAAATGAACCTTTGTTTGTTTTTGCCCTTACCAAGTTGATGATCCATGTCCATAAACTGTCCTTTATGATTACTGAAATAACTACAACCATCTGAGCACATCTGTGTTTGGGATGTATACCTGTAATTGTTACACCTCAAATCTGCATTCCTTATAAGCCTAGTCCTATTATGACTCAGTCTAAATTATAATACTCTAAAATGAAAATAAAAACTATACCAGTACTATATAATTATTTTCATCTCAATACAGGTATTTGTTTAAAATATGTTTGTCATCATAATAAATGGTTTCCGATTTATTGAAATGTTTCAGTCGCCTAAAATGTCATGGAAAGGAGAGAGGATGAAGAGGTCAGAGAAGTGATACCTTCTGATACAGCTTATCCTTCTATTTTCAAGTCAAATTACAAATAATATATATTGTATTTTTCTATGATTAAAGATGTTAAGTGTGAGGACTCGTACACCATAAGAAGCCAACCATATGAGAACAAAGAATACTGTATAATAATGAATCAATAATAAAACCAGGTCCTCCTGGGCACATAAGCAATATCTTTCCTCCCCTTGTTTGTAGCTCTTGTTAGGCACACTTGTTCCTTAAGATTTCATTTAGGGATTTGGTTGTAATACAAAAGTAAGAAGAGCTAATTAATAAATCAGTCCAAGCCAAATGCCAAAGGTTTGACCTAGCCTATTAGGTGCCCAGAACTATCTGTTTAGGAAAGCACCATACCAGTAAACAAGAAATACACTCAGCTGCCAAACTAAAGACTGGGACTTACTAACATATGACTGACCCACAAGGCACCCAATGGGGAGCAAACAGTCCAATATAAAAAGCACCACAAGTGACTACTCAGAAGGCATAGTTCACAAAATGATAAATATTTCAAGACATTAAACTACAGGAAGAATTCCCACCAAAAGAGGAAAGCTAATTACACAGCAAGATGGAGTATCAAGTCAATACTCCTCCCTTCTATCAATACCTAAATGAGATCTTACTTTTAAGTAGGCCCCTAAGCATGCCTTGAGTGTTAGTGATAAAGGTGAGAAGAAAGTGAAGAGGGCAAGGATCATAGTGACCCTAGAAAAGAAAGTTAAAGTGCTCGATAAACTAGCACGTGGCAAGAGTGTAGCATCAGTGGGATGTGGGTATGGGGTTAAATGAATCCTCAATTCATATGATTAAGAAAAGTGAGGCTACAATAACGGATAGTCATTCTGAAACTACTTTAATGATATTCACTTCAGAATAAAGCCTTTTTCCGAACAGGATCCTGAATATCTATGGACAAGCCTTAGACCAGACCCCATTACTGGTATATAAACAAAAAGGCGAGTACTCAATGTCGAACGATGCCGGGTAGTTCTGGGTCCAGACAATAGTATGCCAGTTACTAGCAACAGGCTCATTAAACAATTTAAAACAAATTATACAAAATAAAATACCTAGTATAGAATACCTTGCATAAAAAAGTCAACTAGGATATGAAGCATGAACTGATGTGTAGCTGAGACACTCTCGAGTTCTTGGCTTCTAGTAACCTACTCATCAGTGCTAAACCCATGTTAGGTACTGTACAGCAGTGGAGTCGGAAGAGATTTCACTTCTAGTTCTATAAGTATACTGTATGACTGATTTTCTAAAATGTAGTTCCAGTGGCACAAGTGTGAGTGTATGTCGTGTTGGTGGAAAAAATATTATAAATGTGGCTAATTGAATACAGTGCTCTCCTCCTGTCATAAAGTTCATTGGTTCATGCCCTGGATGCCCTCAGTTCACCCGTCAATAGGTACCATGCCTAACTTTACAGCTGAAGAATGAATGCAGCCGACTGCAGTGCCAGTAAGACAGCCAAATGTCAAGTCTAAGAACTTAATTCCACTTTTGAGTGTAACAATTTCAGCACTTATAATACTAGTTGTAAATTGAGCAAACCCCAAACAAACTCTGGGAAAATTTAAGATATGACAAAAATGACTCACCTGTAATCTTGGCCCTAGTTGTCCTGGACCCATTCCTGGGTGTCGAGGACCCATCCCCTGAGGTCCAGCTCCAATGGGTTGTGGCGACTGCCCTCGGAGATTCGGTGGAACCATGGGTCTGTTTAGGCCAGGCAGTGGACCATTTGGCATTCCCTCGTTCATTTGGGATGCCATGGGACCACTCATGTTCATTGTGGTTACAACACCTTGCGACTTATTCATGGAATTCATCGTGTTCATAGTGTTTATATTGGTCACAGTATTCATACCACCAGCCATGCCCGCACTGTTTGCCATACTACTGAGACCCATGGATGTGTTGGTATTAACAAGGCTCATGGAAGATACTGCAACACTAGAGGCCATGGACATTGACATGGTTCCTGTCACATTGGCAGCCATTGAGTTAGCTATACTATTGGGCATAGTGTTCAAGTTATTAACAGAGTCACTCATAGTTAGTTGTTGGCTAGATGTAGGAACACCACTCATTCCCAAATTTGTATTTTGAGGTGACTGCATCTGTCCACCGTGGGGACTTTTGGAATTAGTCAACGCATTAACTATCATATTGCTTTGGTTGGGCATATTGTGGGGCCCAGTGGCCATAGCATTATTTCCAGCCATGGAGTGCGGTGGGGTTTTAGTCTGGAGGAGGTGCGTCAGCTGTTGGGGGCGGTCTCCAGGGCCACCACCATTTCCTTCCATCATACCATTAACACCTCCCCCACCACCACCTCCACCACCCTGAGAGTCGCCTGGCCACATCAGGTCATCTGGCAGAGCATTCTCCAACATTGCAGCAAAATCATCTGAAAAACAGAAACAAAATTAATATTTGTATATGCTTCTAAACATTGTCATATTCTTATATTTATAGCTATAAATAGCATTTGCTACATTCACGTGCAGAGGGCATTTGGTAGCTTAAAATAATGGAGAGTCCATGGTACCTCAGTTAATATTTCCCAGGTACCACTGAATTCTCAAGGTACAAGAGTCAAGCTTAAACACTCAAAGAGGTCCACCATAGTGTGTCTTAAAATTTATCACAGGTAATAATAATACCCCTGTATAAAGTCTCCTCTCCCCTCCCCTTTCTCTCTCACAGCATAATAAAAATAATCTTGCTCCTTCACATCCGAAATACTTGGCACAAATTGTGAAAGAACATTACAATATTAATTATGTAAAGGAAGGGCTACATCACATGACCAATGACCATACAATAATATAACACTTATAAAATGTATAAATACAGTACTGTAGACAGATACAGGACACAAAGAACATGCATATACTGTACAGCATAAGCATGTTATTTACATCTTCAGATGTGAATTACACAAAAGCGCTTGGGAACTTCATGTTTTATGGTTTCCTATATGGCTATCAGCATATAAATGGGCCACGCACACCTCCAGTGATTTAATTGCATATATAGTATATGGAGAAAACAAATTATTACAAGTGCTGTACCCTGTACCATACTCACCAAAGCATCACAGAATCTTTAAAAAAAATGAGACTTTGCAAGGTGAATCACTCGGTTAGGGGCCTCTAGAATTTTTAATTTAAATTCTTGGGAGATTGTTTTTGTCTCCTTTGCCTTACTAAGCAAGCTGGCTGTTTTCTTTCCCCTGGAGCAGACATTATAGTGGCATATCACACAACACTCACAACCACAAAACCATTGGCAGGGAAAATGAAGAAGCTAGGTGTGCCTATGATGACTCTTTAAGCTGTGTTCTAAATTCATCTTCATAGCTTCAGACCTACAGCATTAACCGAAAAGATGTAAAAATTAAAACAAGTGTAACAACTATTACTGTACTGAAATGGAAAAATAATTACATACAATATGAAAAAATCACCAAAAAACAAATACGTATACTAATACAATGTGACGCAATCACTTAACAAAGGCAAGCCACTCGACTGGTGGTAAATCCGGATTGGGAACTCACAATCCAGCATGAGGCATTTGGATTTATGAATGCACCCAAGCATCACCTAAATTATTGCATAACTTGAAATATATACAGGTAATGATGTTTTGAAATCTCAACACTGTGGTTTAAATGTAGTGTAAATTATGTGAGTTTTTTCATGTTACATATGAATGTTTACCTATCTCTACAAGAATTTATTGTCTAAAAGCTGGTCTTTTGGGTATTTATTTAAAGTATTTACTACGGTATAGTCATACACATCCACCTAGATGTGAATAGGTACCTCACTTAACAGTTGGAGAAAGCAAAGGCAATCAGGTGTAGAGCCATCAAGTGTGTCCCCTTGTGTACCAAAACAAGGGCTTAGTACTGTACAGAGCATATAGTTGTATCTTTACTGCCCCTAATGGACCATGTGGCCTATGAGATCCACTTTCCCTAATCATGAAAGATATGATTACAAATACTATAGTATTAAAGTTACTATACCGTAAACAGCACACAATTGCCAAGCAACAACTAACAACCCACAACAGCCAGCCACCAAGCACCATCTACTACACCCATTTTTATCACTGTTGTGACACTAAAACACTAAGCATGTAATAAATGTAAGAATGTATAAGATAATAATGTAAGTTGTGGTAATGACAGATTTACCGAGAGGCATGTCCATGTTCTCCCTCTACACATTTAGAAGGTTTTCATTAATTGCTGCATAGCCAAAAGTAATTAAAACGTGGTTTGATTTTTCTTATAAAAGCATTAAGAAAAAACAAAATGCTGGTACAGTAATCCTGTGTTTTTGTGGGTTTCTTTATCGCGGACCATTCACGTTTTTTTAACCAAAAAATTATATATACAGCTCCTCCCCGACTTACGCCGGAGTTAGGGACCCAAATCCAGGTCGTAAGTCGAAATGGTCTTAAGTCGAAAATGATTAAATGATACATAGAAAATCTAAAATGGGTATCTCTTTTTCTTCTCAGCACCACAAAACTCACACTTTTAAGCATGCTAGCCATTTTAAAGTGAATTACAAACGAAAATTTTATCTGTGTACTGACGTTGGGACTCGAAAATACGTAATTTGACAAAATTTTGGTACGACTGAGGCAGGTCGTATTTATACTGTAAATGTATACTGTACGGATTTATACTGTAAAAAAAAGTCTGGTGTTATTTTGTGGCATTTGCCTCATAGCTAACACACTTGGAGTTGCAGAGAATGTGGTTGGATCACCTGAGGACTAGGCACCTCAGCTTATTTCATTTGATGATTGTATGTGCTTACTCTAACCTAACTCCTCCCAGTAGTGTTTAATCATCACGTGAAATAAGCTGGAGTGACAAGTCTTCAGGTGCTCCATTAGCTTATGAAGGCAGAGTCTAAGAAGAGGCTTACTCTTTTAACATGTGTAAATGTTATTGTCATCCACAAACATAGCCAACTAGTGATAGAAAAGTATTTTAAGCTTCATACTCAGAGAAGCTCAAAACTTTTTCCTGTGCCTTACAAGGCTAGTCAGCTAGAAGGGCATGGATCACCCACAATATAACCAACTGGTTTACCTATAGCACACTGCATTAAGGTGGGGCTGCCAGAGGACAGTAAAATTATCCTTCTTTGAGATAACTGCTCAGCTCACTGTTTGGAGTATAGTAGTTGGATACCATCAACTGTACTGTATTACCATTTCTTTTAATTTTAATTCTTTTGTTATACGGTGTGCACATGTATAATTTTTATTCCAAAACCTGGAGGGCTTGGACTCAGGCATTCTGGATTTTCAAGGTAATACTGTACTGTACTTTATTACTGATACTGTAGCTGCCAATGCTCAATGGTTTGTCCTTGCTAAAAGGAAATAAAACTTCAAGGATGATTTGTTTTAATTCAGCAGAGCAAGCCAAAAGCAAGCAAAGCCAGTGGCATACCCGAGTGGAAAAGTGATAGTAGCTAGTGCAGGGTTTCTCAACCAGGGGGGAATTTCCCCCCTCAGGTTTTCAGGGGGAACTGATACTAATATGGAAAAAATAAAGGATTTTCAGTATTATATGCATATTATTTGGAATGCACTTTTTGAGGAAGACAATCTTGGAAAGGAGGGGGAATGACATTCTGACATATGGTGAAAGGGGTGCATGGGGCAAACAAGGTTGAGAACCACTGAGCTAGTGTATCTGTAGAGTAAGGCAAGAGTTTGCTGTCATTGGGAGCTGTTCACAAATCCATGAAATGAAAACAAATTCAGCATTGGACAAATTTGCCCAAATTAATGATAGATGCTTATGATCCGGGACATATACAAAATATGATAGTATTTCTTAGACAAACACCCTATTCCATATGCCTTCTTTTTAAAACTTAATCCTGACAATATCATCATATCATTGTTAAAATTAAATTTAAACATTAGGAAACAAGCCTGTGGCACAATGATGGCTTGCCCATCTAATGAGGTTAAAATGGTTTCTCAACCCCCTGAAGAGTTTATCAGTAATTAATACTGCACTGTACTACAAAGTTGCTCAAGACATGACCCCAGGTTAATATCCTTGGGAACTTGTGGAAAGGCACAGTCACAAGAGTTTATAAATAAGACCAAATTAGCACAGCCAGTATACATTTGTTTTTATAGTAATACTGTATCATTAGCATTTGAAAAAAAGGATTCCAAGCCATAAGACTTATAAATACATTTACCTATTCACCACACCCAATGTTAATGAGCAGTATGAGCCATTGTCAAGGAATAATCCAAGAACTGGACAACCCCAGAACATAATCTGCAAATTACTGTTTAATAGACAGAAACAAATGGCATAAAGAAACTTCCCATAGCTTCACCCTGCCCAGGAATCGAATCCAAGTCTACTCACTTACAAGTTAAGTACTGTATATCTAATTACCGATACAGTACTGTAGTTACAATCCAAACAATATACAGTACTGTATATCTAATTTAAAAAAGGAAGTGACCATTGAGCCGGGTCAGACAATAAAATAACTCGAGGCCGATTGAGCTGGATCACCTGGTAAAATAGCCCACTGCTGTATATAGCTGGGCTGTTTATTGTTTTTACCAATGATATAGAAAGGTAAAATAGCTCAAGGACTTCTGAGCCAGGGTCACCTCGTTCACACTTACACAGGTGAGCATCCTTCCCTTACCTGTTCCAGAAAAATGCCAGGTGACCACATGACCTAACCTGATTTGAGGTTAGGTGCCGGTATATCTTCGATAAAAACGATAAACAGCCCTTTTGCATACAACTGTAGGATGTTTTACCAGGTGACCCAGCTCAATAGCCACTTCCTTTAAAGAATTAATGATATACCAAATGAGAATACTGTACGTACCCGTTTATAACACATCTAATAAATCAATGAGATGCCTCGTATGTGTCACTCAAACAGCTTGGAAATAGGAAACAGTACAGTATATTTATGTACAGTACCATGCCATAAAGTGACCTTATATTTCATGAAAAATTCCCTCACAACATAAGGCAAATCTTAAAAAATATTTCCTGGTTCACTAAATGCAAACTTATTAATTTATTTCCAAAACCAATTAAACATGCACGTAGAGACTCTTAACACACTTGCAAACAAGCAGACTCGCTCTTTTGCACATACTGTAGCTACACAACCTGACAAGCATAAAAACACACACAGTGGCTGAGTCTTCCACCATCTTCCGGAAGTCGGTCAAAATTTTGAGTGAAAATTCTAATCTCAGTTAAATTGCTATGATAAGCAAGCCAGTCCCTAAGTTAAGAGAGGGCAGTGGGAGGCAGGAGGAGACCCACCAGGCATGGGGTAGCCCCATGAGACCATTGTGGTCAGGATTAGT